AAGTGCTGGGATTACAGGTGTGAGCCACTGCACCCTGCCAAGCAAGCACTTACTATTTTCCTGACTTGGTCTGGAGACACAAAGTGAAATGGATACAGCTTCCTTCGTCTAGCTCACATTTGGCTCAGGGAGCCCAGAAAGAACAGAATGTTTCAATCCAAGACGGCCCATGATATGCTCTCTGATAGTGGGGGAATAAAGAAATCTCATGTTAAAAAGTCTGTGTTGGTGGGCACATTCCCATGTAGCTGGCAAAAGGGTAAATTAGAACATCCAAGTTGGAGAATAATTTGGCAACTCCTTGGAGGTTGACAGTGCAACTTCCCTGTAATCCAGCAATTGTACTAAATTTTTACTCTAGAGCAGGGCTTTTCAGGTTTTTTGACAGGTATCCTCAATAAGAAATATATCATGACCCACAGCACACATGCCACACAACAGACAACTTTCACCCTACTAGTTACCCTGATGATGTGTTACAAACATTGATATTTCCTAGTCAGTTTTGAGTTTTAAAAATGCTGATCTTGGCTGGGCACGGTGACTCACGCCTGTAATCCCAGCACTTTGGGAGGGCAAGGCAGGCATATCACGGCGGCAGGAGGTGGAGCATCCTGGCTAACATGGTGAAACCCCGTCTCTACTAAAAATATAAAAAATTAGCCAGGCGTGATGGTGGGCGCCTGTAGTCCCAGCTACTTGGGAAGCTGAGGCAGGAGAATGGCGTGAACTTGGGAGGCGGAGCTTGCAGTGAGCCGAGATCAAGCCACTGCACTCCAGCCTGGGCGACAGAGCTAGACTCCGTCTAAAAAAAAAAAAATGCTGATCTTCACCCACTAAGTTGATTTCCTAACATATTAATAGGCCTCAATCCATAGTTTGAACAACACTGCCCTACAGACACGCATGTCTGTGCATAAGGAGACAAGAATGTTTATTGCAACGTTGCTGCAATAGCAAAACCTTGATAAGTCTTTATCTGAGACCTGTCACCAGCAAAATGGATAAAGTAATTGTGATGTGGTCAGGAAGTAGACTATCACACAGTAGTTATGTATCAAAGGATACACACAGGGTGATAACATTTATACAAAATATAAGACCTTGCAAAGTGATATCATACAGTGTTTATGGATACATTGAAATGTGATACAAACGTAAAAACCTGCATGAAATGAAACCCACCCAAATCAGGTTAGTGGCTGTCTCTGGAGGGAGAGAATGTACTTGGAGAAGGGTGCATAAGGAACTTCAACTGATTTTTTTTTTTTTT